TTATTTTTTGTCCAGAAATTTACTATACATTTCAACCAAATTAAATTGTAAAAATTAAAAGACAAAAATATTACAAAAAAAAAAATACTTAAGACATTTCTACGTCTTTCAACACATGGTTTGTAAAATTCATTACTTTAATGTCTTCAAAACTATTTTTGTCTCGCCTTTGATGAAAGTCGCGGAAAGCTAGACATATAGGGATTGCTTTTACGGCGACGATGACAACGATGACGTCATCAATAATTGTTAAGTTTTCTACTTAAGTTAGTTTGGTAGGAACTACTTGTGATAGACCGTTGATATTTAATATGAAGTTCCATTACTATCAGAACATATCACAGTTTGATGACTATTTTGAGGCCCTGCCCCGTTGGACATGGTCCAGTGACTTTGAATTTATTAGCAATTCTCAATGTTTTCTGCTTAAATTAGCTTGATAGGATCTACTTGTGATAGATCAGTGATATTTTGTATGAAGTTGCATTACTATCAATTCATATTAGTTTGACAAACTATTTCGAGGCCCTGCCCCCTAGGTCATGGTCCAGCAACTTTCAATTGATAAACAATTTTTAATGTTAAGTTTTTTGCTTAAGTCAGTTTGAAAGGAACTACTTGTGATAGATCAATGAAAGTTTCTATAAAGTTGCAATTACTATCAGTACATATCAGTTTTTTTTTTGAGGCCCTGCCCCCTAAGTCATGGTGCAGCAACTTTGAATTTATTAGCAATGTTGCTGTCCATCAGATTATCTTTTTCTTTATTTTCTGCCAACAGGGAAGACATATTTCTGTGTCAACAGTTTATTTTTGATTCAAGCATCATTGCTGAGCATTTTTTAAGTATGAAATTCACCTTGAGAAAATCCTCATTGTTAAGAGTTAAGTCGAGAAAGGCAAGACATAGGTATTGCTTGCTTTTCCGGCGACAACAACATGATGTCGACAATTGTTAAGTTTTCTGCTTAAGTTATTTTGATAAGAACTTCTTGTGATAACTCAATGCCCTTGTAGGTCATGGCCCAGTGACTTTCAATTATTCACCAATTTTCAATTTTAAGATTTCTGCTTGAGTTTGTTTGAAATGAACTACTTACAATAGACAACAGTATTTTCTATAAATTTACATTACTGTCTGTACATCTCAGTTTGTTGATGGTATTTCTAGGCCCTTCCCACTAGTTCATGGTCCAGCGACTTTGAATTAATTAGCAATGTTGCTGTTCATCAGATTGTATTTTTCTGAATTTTATGCCGACATATATCTCTGTCAACAGTTTATTCTTGAATATGTTTAAGTGGGTTATGTCATTTTGTAACCAAATAACAATGACTCGTCTTTATTTACTGTGCATAAGTGGAGAAACACAGAACTAAGGCTCCAATCCATTATTAGTTTGAAATCATTATCCTTATTTGTGTGTAATATTACACAACCATAAAGTTGTATACATTCTTCTTTAGCTAAAGATCAAGCTTATAGTAAAATAAAATATCTTGGAAAAGTGCAGAAATACTGTCATTTGGCCCACAATGTATAAAAAATACAGAGTTTAAGAGGTCAAATATTTAAATCTCTTTATAAAATTACATTATAGGATCCAAAGTCAGCGCATTTTGGAGATGTTAAACAATGATGATTTTGTGCATTTTCTGACCTGAATGCTTCAAGAAAACCTTGACTGCAACCTACGATCAAAATGTTCTGTAATCAAAAGGTGCAAAGGTTTATAATTTAATCCCTAGACACAACAATTTTCTGGATTGTAAGTGGCGGGCAAAGTTAACTTTTCCAAAATCTTTTATAAATTATCGAAATAATGGACCAGAAATGATTTTGCAACACATGTACAAGAAAAGCAATAATTAAGGGGGTCATAACTTTGCAATTGATAAGATGGTGTACCAAAAAGAAGTTGGCTTGTACTAATAGTTAATTGTATGGGCAATTTGAACCCTTTGTGAACAAACTCCTTTCATATCTTACTTTCAAAGGGAAAGTATTTGATGGGGGTTTTAGATATTTTTATACAACCACAAAAAAATTTTGCGGTCGTATATTGGGATGACATTGGCGTCATCGTCGTCGTCGTCCGAAGACACATTGGTTTTCGCACAATAACTTTTGTTTAAGTGTATGGATCTCTATGAAATTTTACCATAAGGTTCAATACCACAAAAGGAAAATTGGGATTGCTTTTGGGAGTTATGGTACCAACAGTTAAGGAATTAGGGACCAAAAAGGGGCCAAAAATAAGCATTTTTGTAACTTCCAGACATAACTTGTGTGTTAGTGCATGGATCTCTCTGACATTGTATCCCAAGGTTCCATATCACAAAGGGAATGCTGGGATTGATTTAGGGGGTAATTGCCTCAAAATTTAAGGAATGAGGGGCCAAAAAAGGGGCAAAAAACAAACATTTTTATACGACCGCAAAAATTAAAAATTTTGGTCGTATATTGGTATGACGTTGGCGTTGTCGTCGTCGTCGTCGTTGTCGTCCGGCGTCGTCTGAAGACACATTGGTTTTTGCACTCTAACTTTAGTTTAAGTGAATGGATCTCCATGAAATTTTACCATAAGGTTCAATACCACGAAAGAAAGGTTGGGATTGATTTTGGGGGTTATGGTACCAACAGTTAAGGAATTAGGGGCCAAAAAGGGGCCAAAAATAAGCATTTTTGTAACTTCCAGACAATAACTTGTGTGTAAGTGTATGGATCTCTCTGATATTATACCACAAGGTTCCATATCACAAAGGGAAGGCTGTAATTGATATTTTGGGGTAATTGCCTCAAAATTTTAGGAATTAGGGGCCAAAAAAGGGGCAAAAAACAAGCATTTTTCTAGTTTCATGACAATAACTTGTGTGTAAGTGTTTGGATATTTCTAAAATTGTACTACAAGGTTCCATATCACAAAGGGAAAGCTGGAATTGAGTTTGGGGGTAATTGCCCGAAATGTTTAGGAATTGGGGGCCAAAAAGGGGCCAAAAATAAGCATTTTTCTAGTTTCCAGACAATAACTTGTGTTCTAGTGTATGGATCTCTCTAAAATTGTACTGCAAGGTACCATACAACAAAGGGAAGGCTGGAATTGAGTTTGGGGGTTTTGAATCATAAGGGGGTTCAAAAAATTTGGGGGGTGGGGTTTTCTTTTCTTTTTTTCCTTTTTTTTTCTTTTAAAATTTTCCATTTTAAGTTGGTTATTTCTGATTTATATTTAAAAGCAAATAATAATGATATGGTAGGAGATACACACCAAACAGGATTTGTAAATTATTATATAATAAGTATTGTGCAATAGCAAGAAATTTTCAATTGCACAGTATTGCACAATAGCAAGAAATCTTCAATTGCACAGTATTGCGCAGTAGCAAGAAATCTTCAATTGCACAGTATTGCGCAATAGCAAGAAATATCCAATAGCACAATATTGTGCAATAGCAAGAAATTGTCAATTGTACAGTATTGCACAATAGCAAGAAATATTCAATTGCACAGTATTGTGCAAAAGAAGATACTTCGTATAAATTGCTTATTTCTTGATCAATTTCAATGGGGTTTTATTCTTGAATTCTTGGGGTTCTTTAATATGCTGAATCTAACTGTGTATTAAGTTTTAGGATTTTGGGCCCCGTTTTTAAATTGGTCCACATTGAGGTCTAAAGGGTCCAAAATTTAACTTTGTTTGATTTCATCAAAAATTGAATTATTGGGGTTCTTTGATATGCCGAATCTAACCGTGTATTTAGATTCTTAATTTTTGGTTCTGTTTTCAAATTGGTCTACATTAAGGTCCGAAGGGTCCAAAATTAAACTTAGTTTGATTTTAACAAAAATTGAATTTTTAGGGTTCTTTGATATGCTGAATCTAAACATGTATTTAGATTTTTGATTATGGGCCCAGTTTTCAAGTTGGTCGAAATCGGGGTCCAAAATTAAACTTTGTTTCATTTCAACAAAAATTGAATATATGGAGTTCTTTGATATGCTGAATCTAACCATGTATTTAGATTTTGGATATTGGACCATAATAGGTGAATGTCCAATTTAAAATTTTTAAGTTCTTAGACCACATTCATTCTGTGTCAGAAACCTATGCTGTGTCAAATATTTAATCACAATCCAAATTCAGAGCTGTATCAAGCTTGAATGTTGTGTCCATACTTGCCCCAACTTTTCAGGGTTCGACCTCTGCGGTCGTATTAAGCTACGCCCTGCGGAGCATTTTATTCTAGTTTCATGACAATAACTTGTGTGTAAGTGTATGGATCTTTCTGAAATTGTACTACAAGGTTCCATATCACAAAGGAAAAGCTGGAATTGAGTTTGGGGGTAATTGCCTAAAACGTTTAAGAATAAGGGGCCAAAAATAAGCATTTTTCTAGTTTCCAGACAATAACTTGTGTTCAAGTGTATGGATCTCTCTGAAATTGTACTGCAAGGTACCATACCACAAAGGGAATGCTGGGATTGAGTTTGGGGGTGATGAATCATAAGGGGGTTCAAAAAATTGGGGGGGGGATTTTTTTTTCTTTTTTTTCTTTAAAATTTTTCATTTTAAATTGGTTATTTCTGATTTATATATAAAAGCAAATGATAAAGATATGGTTTGAATAGGTAAATTAAAATTTTTTAAGTTCTTAGACCACATTCATTCTGTGTCAGAATCATAATGCTGTGTCAAATATTTAATCACAATCCAAATTCAGTGCTGTATCAAGCTTGAATGTTGTGTCCATACTTGCCCTAACTGTTCAGGCTTCGACCTCTGCGGTCGTATCAAGCTGTGCCCAGTGGAGCATTTTATTATATTATAGTATTAAACACGTTTAACTTTTTAAGAAGTGATATATTCAAAGAAAAAGTTCATTTTGGTTTTCTACCAATAGTGAAATTGTTTGTAACTGAAAGATTTAAATATATCTAAAGGACATTTATTGAATTATTTTATATTATAGAACCGTTTTTGAATATTTGAATTTTTTTGTAGGAAGCAGTCCTGGTAATGTGAAACCAGATCTTCTGTGTGGTCAGAACAGATTTCCACCTGTTCTGGACCCTTCTGTCCCAAGCTCATCAGCAGATATAATACAAAATGGTGATACTAATAATTCCAATGAAGGAAGTTCTATAAACACAGACCGTTATGATGGTACATCTGGTGACCAAAATGGGGTCAGTGAATGAAATAGTAGACAAAGATTTCAGTAAACCAATCTGGTGTTTCTAATTATGATCTTACTAAAAGATGTCAAAGTTCAAATTAATGTTCCAAAAGAGTCCTGTGAGAACTTTTTCACAAAATATTAATCTTAAATAACGGTGAGACTTTTTAAGAATGGAAAAAAAATGCAAGATCATTTTTTGTGATTTCAGGAAAATCTGTGTACAGATATATGTATAAAATTTGGAATGCGAGTTCTTATTATTGCAATACTCTCCCAGTTGCAATATTCACATTTATAAAAACCTCACAATAATTTCTGAATTTACAGTATATTAGAATCCTATAAAAATAATGTTTCAAAGTAATCAGTGGATTTTAAGGACAAAATAGGTAACTTGCATGTAGTCATTTACTGATTTAAATCCTGAGTACTTTCATAGGTATTATAATAACATAAATGTAATACATGTTTATAAAAAAAAAACTACAAAAAAAACTGCGGAAATCTTAATTGAGAATGAAAAGAGTATGGAATTACATAGATCCAAACAAAATGACGAAAGGCTTATAAAATTTTCTGCTGTTTTATAGAATTTAGAGGATGCAATCCTAGCCAATGATATTTTAGATGGGAGTTTTAAATCAACTTCTAGCCAACATTCAAGTTCTGGAGCTACAGCTGCAGACCTGATCAGGACTGTTAATTTAGAAACAACTAACAGGATTCAGACATTTAAGAATGATAGTCAGTCAGTGGATTTGGTTGGTGACTTATTAGGAGCATCACCAGGGATAGTTCTGGTTGAGGATGACAATTTAGAAAATAATTACTTAGACCTAGGAGAGTCTAATGGTCCATTGGTTCAAAATAGGAAATCTGCAGATAGACCAACTCCTCTCCACATATCAGTCAGTGAGAGTTCTGGACAATGTAAGACTATTGAGACAGATGGAACGAATCTACTTTCACGATTACCAGCATCCCCAAGTGGATCTTCTCACTCCTCGGAAAGTCATCATATGAGTAGTCCTATTCTGATTGATAGTCTACGCAAGGCCTTACATCCTAAAGCTACTGTTGATGTGACAAAGCTTAGTCATAAACAGGTTTGTATAGCTTGTGTCAGATTTTGTCTGGTGGTTCAGGCATTATACCTTAATTATGTAGTCTATTAATAGCAACATTTTCTGGTGGGTTTTTTTCACTTCCATTACAGAAATAAAATTTTGATTGAAAAATATTTTCAAAATAATGGAATTGTACACTTGAAAAAGGAAGGAAAATCAGTGCTGAAATATTCAAAGCTTAAAATCAATTTTGAGGACTTGTTGGACATATAAAAGATAGAGGTGAAATTTAATCACACTGATAAAAAGATGGTGGGATTAACATGACTAAAATTTAAAGCATTTGTAGTTTGAATCCAAGGGTCAAAATTTTGTAAACCAGATATTTGCATTTGGCTAATTTTTCCACTACCATGCAAATTGGTATGCAAAGAAGTATCTACCACTTTCCACAGAAATAAAATCACACACATTATATGTTATGGCTTGGCTGCAAAAGGAAGTAATGCGATTTTAAGACTTTATTTATTTCCAGTCACAGACAAAACCTGGATTGTCATGCTTTCTCGGAACTATTTAGTTTGTCAATATCTTGAGTAAAACATAAAGTTGTGTCAAGGATTAATTATAAAACAGAAAGAGTAATGTTAAAAGTCTATGATAATGTATTCATACATATCACTGATGTTGAGCTTTATTAGTGCCCTACCGACGAAGTCGAAGGGGACTTAAGGTTTGCACTCTGTCTGTCTGTCATCAATTTTCCACACTTTTTTTCTTTGTGCTTAAAGATATTGATTTGATATTTGGTATATTGTTTTATCATGACAAGTTACAGATCAAGTTCGAATTTTGTTCCTGTCTGATAATTTTGTGCAGAGTTTGAAAAATTCATTCAAATAATCAGTTTTCCGCACTTTTTTCGTCATGCTTGAAGATATTGATTTGATAATTGGTATATAGTTTTATCATGACAAGTTACAGATCAAGTTCTTATTTTGTTTTGGTCTGATGTTTTGTGAAGAGTTATGTTCCTTGGACTTAGAAAATTCACTGAAATAATCAGTTTTCCTCACTTTTTTTCGTCATGCTTGAAGATATTGATTTGATAATTGGTATACATGTATAATTTTATAATGACAAGTTACAGATCAAGTTCCAATTTTGTTTTTCCGTTCTAATGATTTTGTGCAGAGTTATGGTCCTTGGACTTAGAAAATTCACTTAAATAATCAGTTTTCCACACTTTTTTTCATCATGCTTGAAGGTATTGACTTGATATTTGTTAAATAGTTTACACCATGACAAGTTATAGATCAAGGTAGCATTTTGTTCCAGTACAATGAATTTTTAACCGGTAGGAGACTATGTCGATATTGCCATGCAATACTCTCAGAATGCTTGTTGTTAAAAATCTTCTTTGAAATTGGCATGCATTTACCAGAGACATAAAAATATTTGAAATACACACAAATGGTAACCTGCTTATATATAATTTAAATGTTCTGGAAAGATTTTGTGAAAACATGGGTATTATCAGGCAGGGAGCTGGAAGGTAAAAAAAGAGGGTACTTATCTTGTGTTATTTACTTCTACAGTATTCAGCCGAGAGCCTTGAACATTTCTAGAATGCTAGAATATACAAAGAAAGATATGCACCTTACCTTGTGTACGCATTAGAATAATATTTATAGATTTTCCAGATGGTTAAATTTGATCAGCATTCTCATTGAGGATATTTACCTTTTTGGGAAATTTTGTGCTGTTTTAGCTTATATTTTGATGGGACTTTACAGTTTGATATTTAGTCTAATCAATTAGCATTGATTGTTGATTGTTGGTGTTAAACACCACTTTCTGCACACATGGCTATATCATCAGAGACTTTCTGCACACATGGCTATATCATCAGAGAGAATCATAGACCGTTGGTAGGAAAACTGGCAATTCTAATAAAAAAGATGGAAAAAAAACACACTGTGTCACAAACTTTGTAAAAAGAGTATACTAGTATCAACACAATTATTATAAAAGCAACTATATACTATATTTTGTACCATAGATAAAGAAATGTTTTCTCCACTTACTAGTGTAAAAAGATTGATTTTTATGAAAATGATTCCATGTTTTTTCATTGTCAGTTTTCTTGTAACATGTCAGCTGGATCCTATATTTGATAAAACTGAAATCAACATAATAAGTTCTCAGCATATTTATTAATTTTGTGTTTTGTTTCAAATAGTCAGTTTGTAACTCACTAAGGGGAAGTTGACATGTAATAGATGGTTTTGGTTAGTCATTTGGTTCTCATTTGGTTTTCTAGCTCACAAAGAAATAAATCATCTTAAAAAGGCAACCCAATGTTTGGTATTAATAATCATGTATGTTGTCAAGGAACATATAAATCAAGAAAATGCTTCGAATGCAGTAAAAGATATGTTTTACTTAAATTTTTCATGTAAATAAGTAAAAAAAGTGCACTTTTTTGGCTGACCTGGCCCAAAGGGCCAAGTGATCTATTCTCGTCACTTGGTGTCAGGTGTTGACAACGACACCCGGCCACAATCATTATTGGGTTTCTTGTTTAAAAAATTTGTCCGATGATCCTGCCCGCCAACCAACTTGGCTGACACGGATAAAAATAGAATATAGGGGTAAAATGACAAGATTTGTGTATTATCTTGAAAACCATTAGCCTGTCGACACTGAGGTTGTGAGTTCAAATCCTGCACATGGTAGATGCGCTCAACTCCAATCTTTATTAACTAGGATTATCAGTTTTCCTACCAAAGGTAGGTGGTTCTCTCTGGCCATCTGGCTTCCTCCACCAGTCCAAACTGATGACCACAAAATAGCACAATAGTGCTTAAAGTGGCATTAAACTTAATCAATCAATAGATAGAGAAAATCTGACAGGTCAGAAATGATTAGAATGTTGAGATTTACCTACTGTGTATTTACTCCAAAACTTTCAGAAGAATTCTTATTGGAATTATTGCCCTTTGATGAAGATTTTTCCAATATTTTTTTTATTTGCTTGTTATCTTGGAAACTATTATAGATAGAGAGAAAACTTTACATAGCTTAAATGATCAGCAAGACAAAACCTACAAATAAGTCACCATGGCTAGAATTTCCAGTTGATTCTTTATAAAAGAAATATTTTTTTTTGCTTTTTTGTCTATTATCGATCTTGAACACAATAAGAGATAGATAGAAACTTATATTAGCAAAAATTATCAGCAAGACATGATCTACAAATCAGAGACTTGTATACGAAATCCTAGGAATACTCCTTATAGGAGTTATTGCCTTTGCATGATGATTTTTTACCATTTTTATGCCCCTGCTGTAGCGGAGGGGCATTAAGTTTTACCCTTGTCCGTCTGTAAGTCTGTCCGTCCGTCCGTACGTACGTCCCAAAGTTGGTTTCCGTTCTTTAACTTTAGTTTGCCTCAACCAAATTTTATGAAACTTATACACAATACTCATGACCATAAAATACAGATCAAGTTTGAAATTGGGTGGCGTCACTTTTACAGTTCTTGAGTAATGCCCCTTTCTAAACATAAAAATTGCTGAACTTTTCGTTTCCGTTCACTAACTTTAGTTTGCCTCAACCAAATGTTATGAAACTTATACACAATGCTTATTACCATAAAATACAGATCAAGATTGAAATTGGGTGGCATCACTTTTACCGTTCTTGAGTTATGCCCCTTTCTAAACATAAGAATTGCTGAACTTTTGGTTTCCATTCTCTAACTTTAGTTTGCCTCTACCAAATGTTATGAAACTTATACACAATACTTATTACCACAAAACTCAAATCAAGTACAAATTTGGGTAGCATCACTTTTACTTTTCTTCAGTTATGTCACTTTATAACTTCTTTATGATATGCAAGCGGGGGCATCATCTGTGTCCCATGGACACATTCCCCATTTATTTTTTTCTATTATTGCCTATTATCTTGAAAACTACAATAGGTAGTTAGAAACTGTTATTGCCAAAATTCATGACCAAGGTCTACTTGTAAATTAGCCTGGCAGAAATTGTTGGTCAACTCCTTCAATGAGTGATTGCCTCTAAATGATGATTATTACCATTTATTACGTTTTTGTTCATTGTCTTGAAAACCATTATAGATAAAGAGACTCTTAAAGAAGGAGAAATAAGCAGCAGGAGATTAGATTCAAACATTTGTCAATATATCTGAAATTGTCAATCAACTTCCTATAGGGGTTATTGCCCCTGAAACATGTTTTTTTACCATTTTTTTTTTTGCATTTTTGACAAGAACTATATAGTAGATAAAGAAAAATTGTAAAGAGCAAAAATGTTCATCATGACAAGATAAAAAAAAAGGAATCTAAATCATGAATTATTTTCTTGTCTTCAATGTTGAAAAGACACACATGTCAATGTAAACGACAAAGGCTCGTTAGAGCAACTAGCTGACATGTACTTATACATGTATATCCCTTATTTGCATAATCGGTTGTTTACACCACTGATGATGTTATAGAATGACGTTTTACATAAAACTGATCATAAATACTTTCTGTAGACAATCAGTCATACAATCTTTGTTGTGTAACAACAAGGAAGGAGAATAGGAAATAAAATGGCAAGTGGGTTGATAATATATGATAAAAAACTAGTGATCTCTTTTATTACAGAACAAAGATTGTGATTTATCTGTGGGATCAGTTATTATTGTTATTAGCAATTACAAGCAGGTGCTTGTTCTAACTGTGAAAAACTTTAGTCTAATTAGAATAATTGGTACAATCAGTAGTAGTCAAGTGTCAACCATATTGTTATTTTAACACAATTGATTATATTTCATGTTACACATTCTGATTGTGTGATGAATAGGCATAGGAAATGCTTCAATTATCTCACATTTAATTGGTTTACATTTAGTACAATCTAATTGGAATATTGCTATTTTGAAATTGTTGCCTTAGATATGTTAATTTCAATCTATATGTTTTGATATGGTAAACAGATATTTATTTGGGAAGACTTCCATT